CTTTCTCTCTGTCCCCCCCTCGTATTTGCTGAGACAGATGACTCTTAAGTCAGCTCTTCTCCAAAATAACCGAGCCTCTTGACTGCACTATTGCTCAAATGTTTGGCAACAGGAAGTCCTTGCTTCTTCTTTCTTAGAAGAGCCTGCTATGACAACCTTTTGCTTTAACTGAGTCCTAATCTGATCGCAGGACTTGGAGATGTTTTCATTTGGGGGCATTTCTAATTAACACGTCGCACTATTTGCCGTCACACTGCAGTTGGATTGTGGGTGTTTGTAGACTTTTGGGACTTAGAAAGTTGTATTCTTGACTTTCTCTCCGTTCCAATTGGTTGGTTTGTCCGCATCTGTCAAGCCAGGGATCTGGTCTAAATACAGAACTGGGCTAAGTTCCTCAAGCAAAGTTTCTGGTGTTTGCACCAGCATTTTTTGTTTGTCTCTGCCGCAGCCTGATCATACTATGAGCCATGCACCAGGAGTAATGATGTACTTATTCTACGAACGCCTTTGAAGGGTATTGTTGAGTCTGAGCATGCCAAGTGACTCATGTGGTTAGTTCAGAATAGAATAAAGAATACCAGAGCTGGAAGGGACCTTGTAGGTCAGGGCTTTTCACCCAGTGGTACGGGTACCACCTGGGGTACATTGGCACCTGGCAGGTGGTACGCCACCATCCTAGAAAAGTGGTAGCAGGGGAGGGGAATGAGCTGAACTGGTGGCAGCACCGCACAAGCCTGAGCGAGAGACGGCTGGAGCTGCAGGGCTGTCAGGGCTCAGCGGAAGCACCAGGATCAGCGCCAGGCTCCAGCTTGAGCTCGGTGCTGATCCTGGCGCTTCTGCTGAGCCCAGAAGAAGCGCCGATCAGCTGGAATGTTGCAGCCTCTCCAGGGTCTTGTGATTTACATTGAGATGCTTGGCAACCGATTCATATTTATGACGGTCACAGTGTCCCAGGGTCATGTGAAGTGACCAAAACCTGCTGCAACCACCCAGCAGACGGGGGGAATAAAAACTACACACACCCCACCCCACCCCCGCTGCCAATCCTCAACAGAAATGCTCACAACAATTGAAACCTCGGACAGGAGGAAGAGCGCCGCCGGGCGGGCAGGCAGGGGTCTTGCTCGGCTGTGGCTTGGGGGGGCACTTTTTTCAGTGCCATTGTAACTTTGAACAGTCACTAAGCGACACTGTTGTAAGTCGATGACTACCTGTACTTTATCACTTTTTTCCTTTTTTTTTTTTTGGTCATCAAGTTTTTGACACCTTGCTAGGCGACTGGTGGTACTCGGATATTGCAATATCCTAAAAGTGGTACAATGGGTGAAAAGGTTGAAAAGCCCTGGTCTAGTCCAACCCCCTGCTCAAGCAGGACTCCCAGTACTATTTTGTATGAAGGCAAGCTCTTTCCACTGGTTAATTGTCCTCACTGTTAGGAAGTTTCTCCTTAATTCCAGGTTGCTTCTCTCCTTGATTAGTTTCCATCCATTATTTCTTGTCTAACCCTAACCCCTATACAATGTCAGACAAATGACTGTCCAGTCTCTTCTTAAAAGCCTCTAGTGAAGGAGCACCCACAGTTCTGGACACAAGCCATCCCACTGATAAATTGTTCTGTCAGGAAATTCCTCCTTAGTTCTAGGTTGCTTCTCTCCTTGATTCATTTCCATCGGTTGCTTCTTGTCCTGCCTACTGGTGCTTCGGAAAATAGGTTGACCCCCCCTCCTCTTTGTGGCAGCCATCTCAAATATCGGAAGAGTGCTATCATGTCACCCATAGTCCTTCTCTTTGTACCTCCTTAGGGGAATGGGACCTGCAATATTCCTTGTCTCCCCCTCTAGTGGGTCGGGTAGATGTGACGGTCCCTCAGATAACCTGGTCCCCAGCCATGGAGGTGACAACTAGCATCTTGACCTATACCTGGAAGCAAATCAGGAACCAATGGAGCTCCCGCAGGAGAGGTGACACATGTGCATACTGAGGTCTGCATAAAACCATGCGGGCCGCTGCATTTTGAACCAACTGGAGTTTTGGGATGCTTTTCAAGGGCAGCCCCATGTAGAGCACATTGCAGTAGTCACGACGGGAGGTAACTACGGTGTGAGTGACCGTGAGTGAGGATTGTTTCTCTAGTTTTGCTCCTACGCCCAGAAAGAATCCAGCAAGTAGAATAGCCTGAAACTATACTGGCTGTGTTTTACAGAGGATTTGGAAAATCTGGGCCTCAGAGAGTCTCCGATGATCTGGCACCGTCCATGGAAAGTGACTTTCGACAGAGTCTGACCACAGATCATCTGGGCCAGGTTTTCCGGAAGGATTATCCCTCTATTCGGAGAGGTGAAGCCCTCTGCAAGTGACTCAGTCCTTCCAATTTAAGCCTCGGTGTGACAATCAAGAGCTTCCTAAACATGGAATTAGAATGCGCAGGAAATGGCTTTTTGGGTTAAATATAGACTCTTTGCAAGATAGCTCAGTTTATCTGCTCATTTTGTGAAACGGAAAGGGGGGGGCTGTGCAGATCCACTTAGCAGGTATACGGGACGCAAGTATCTAAATCAGTCGTGGCGAACCTTTTAGAGACCGAGTGCCCAAACTGCAACTCAAAACCCACTTGTCTATCGCCGGGTGCCAGGTGGGCATGGCTCACTGGGTGGGCATGGGTGTGGTGGTCATGGCAGATTGGGTGGTGTGGCCAAGGTGGGCATGATCACCTCGATGTTGCTCGTGGGGAGGGACGCCTGGGTTGGCGGAGATCCAGGAGGTCTCTGGCAGGTGGGGCGGTGGGCAAGAGGCTCGTCCTGCGGGGTGAGGCAAGGTGAGGCAGGGGTGCCATTGTCACAGGGCAAGGTGAGGCAGGGGTCGGGGCAGCTGCTGCCTGACACCATCGCCCCCCGCACACAGAGGCCAGCGAGCGCATGGGTGCTGGGATGCATCCAGCCATGTGGGACCTCGGCGAGTTAGCGGGCGGCTGGTTGAAGAGGGATGGTTGCCATCTCCGGGGCATGACGCACGTGCCCACAGAGAGGGCTCCGAGTGCCGCCTCTGGTTCGCCACCACTGATCTAAATCCTACCTTGTGCTTCAAAATGGAACGATAGGTAAATGTAAATTTTCTAAAAAAGGAGTTGATAGCAGAATCCTCCTTCCCGGCTATATGTGATACCAAAGCAGTGGTGGGATTCAAATAGGTGAACAACCGGTTGTCTCCATGGATGCCGCTTCTGGAAGTCTATTCTGGGCCTGGGCAATCAAAAATTAGCTTCGGTTCTGCCGAAGGGGTGCTAACCGGCTGAATCCCACCACTGCACCAAAGGATCTTTTCCTTGAATGAGCCTGGGGGCTCCATCGCTGGAAGCTTTCAAGAAAAGATTGGACAACCCATTGGCCTGGGATGGAATAAGGACTAGAAGACCTCTAAGGTCCCTTCCAGCTGTAGGATTCTATGAGCCTTCCCCAACCTGACCCCTTGTGGAAAGCTTGGGACTCCGCTAGCACACACCTGGAAGGCACCAGGTTGGCAGAAGTTGTGAGTGCTGAGGCATGTACGGCAGGGACGGTGGTGGGATTTCTCCGTCAGACGCAACGGTTGTCATGGTTATTGGAAGCAGAGAGGTACAGGAAAAGATGAACTGCCTGGGTGTCTTTTTTCTTTCTTTCTTTTTTTTTTAACCTCCTCCTCCTCTTCGTTTTCTCTCCGCCTCCTCGTTGCATCTCCTCAATCTGGGCTTTCCAAGCCGACTCAACGTGGTGTTGGGTTTTTCGGTGCTTGCTCTCAGGGAACGGGGTTGAGTCAGACAGGAGATTTCAGATGATCCAGTCAGATCCTCCTTCGGGCTAGGATGAGCTATCCGAGGGTTTACGAGGGGCAGCTGGCCCTTGGCATCTCAAGACCCCCTGGGCACCCCCCAGGCCCAGGCATGAGCAGGAATGGACTGCGGCTGAGCCAGACCCAGAGAGGGAACAGCGTGGGAAAGGTGTGTTGGGGGCAGGTGCCGGGCGTTTGGGTGGGAAGAAAAGGCCGTGAAGTCAAACACAGGAGGGAATTAGGGGCTGATTTTCTTCAGCGACTTGTTTCCACTGAAAGTTCAGTTGATTATTTTTTTAAAAATAAAATAAAAAGGTATTTATAGCTTAAGTTGCTTGTTTGACTCATCCAATGTGCCGCAGCGGAGTTTACAAGCCTAATTAATTTCTGCTTATGATAAAGAGGTGGAATTTCAGCTGCTGTCGTATTTTTTGTTTTGTTTTTTTTTAATTGCGTTTTGGCTGGCTCGTTTGAGTCATTTGAAGAAGTTGCCCAGCTTTTTGGCTTTGATCTGAATTCCATAAATTCCATGAGTAGATGTGGAACTGGGAAGAGTCCTGGCTTTGGGCAGTGGGTTGGTGTTGATGATCTTAGGAATCCTTGTAATTTGGGGAGGTCCTGGGTCTTTTTGCTGTACTGCTTCAGTTTCAGCAGCTAATTCTTTTCACGCAAAGCGGGAACAGTAAGCATGATCTTGGATTGAAATTTATTTTAGTAACATTTCTCTCAAGTGAGACCATAGATAAGAAGAAACATGCTACAGAACATTTTGGATTTGAGATGAATCAGGAAGGAGGCCACCAATTGCTGTATTTCTGACCCCCAAATACTTTCAGACGTTGAGATTTTCGGGAGAAAAGAGCATAAGTTGTTTTCATTTCGGCCTGGGGTCCTTGGCACAACCCCAGAGCTAAAGATTTTACGTGCCCCCTCCCAAGTCTGTCTGCATTATATCTGCAAAATTAAATGTGATTTTTTTTTTAAAAAAAAGTATGCAGTTTCTATGGTGTTAAATGTGAGATCCATTTGTGTGACCCTGCCCTACGTAAGTGCTGGAGTAGAACATGTGAAGGCTTTTGGGGTGGCGGGAAAAATCAGAATCCAGCCCCTCAGGTCAAGTGGACCTTGTTCACCAGTTCCTGGCCCGTTAACAAACACCCTCTTTTCTCTTTATTTATTTTTTTCAGAACAAAGAAAAAGAAAGGATGAAGGAAGGCAAGGATAAAGACGCCCGCTATACCAACGGGCACCTCTTCACTTCCATCACAGTCTCTGGCATGACCATGTGTTACGCGTGTAACAAGAGCATCACCGCAAAAGAGGCACTGATTTGTCCAAGTGAGTAAGCACCTTCCTTATGAGCTCGGAGAGTCTTAAGTGTCATAGTTTGAATGGATTCAGCAGAGTGAAAGTGTGTGTTAAATACTGAGGGGGGGGGACTGTTTCCCCAATCCAGTGGTGGCGAACCTATGGCACGCGTGCCAGAGGCGGCACTCAGAGCCCTCTCTGTGGGCACGCACGCCGTGCCCCAAAGATAATAATAATAATAATAATAATAATAATAATAATAATAATAATAATAATAATAATAATAATAATAATAATAATAATAATAATAATACTTTAATTTATACCCCGCCCTTCTCCCGAGGGACTCAGGGCGGCTTACAGGTAAGTAAAAACAGAGCTATACAATAAATATCTAAAAACCAAATTAAAATATATATTAGA